CAGTCCTGGTGCCTGGGGTCTGCTGGGGACCGTCCCCAGCAGACCACAGGCACCGGCACCCAAGTGGCAGCAGCAGCGGTTCCCGCGCTTCCGAGGCTTTGCTCCAGGGGCACCGGAGCAGCTTACGAACGGGTCTTTCTCGCCCCGACTTCCGGGGCGAGAAAGCTCCGTTCGTAAGTTCGGATCCGACGTAAGTCGGATCCGCGTAAGTCGGGGACTGCCTGTAGTTCGAACTAAGGGCTGTGTAGACACTTAATTCGAACTAGTTGGAGGCTAGCCCTTCCCAGATTGCTCTGGTGGCCACTCTGGGCATAACCAGGGAAACTCTTCTGCCCCCCCTCCCGGCCCTGGAGCCCTTAAAGGGGCATGGTCTGGCTACGGTGCTTGTGTCAGTTGCAAGCCTGCCAGCACCCAGCAAGCAGACCCTGTACCACTAAGGGCTGTGTAGACACTTAATTCGAACTAGTTGGAGGCTAGCCCTTCCCAGATTGCTCTGGTGGCCACTCTGGGCATAACCAGGGAAACTCTTCTGCCCCCCCTCCCGGCCCTGGAGCCCTTAAAGGGGCATGGTCTGGCTACGGTGCTTGTGTCAGTTGCAAGCCTGCCAGCACCCAGCAAGCAGACCCTGTACCTGGCACGGGATGAGCCAGCCACCCCCTGCCACCCAGCCCTTCACCTCTTCCCAGGACCAGGCTGGCAGCTCCCAGGAGCCTGCCTGGGGCCGCAAGAGGCGCCTGGTCTAGTATGGAGATCGTGGACCTCATCGAGGTTTGGAGGGAGTCCTCCAACATCCACGATCTCTTCAGTAGCTATAGGAATGCGGCCGTCTACAGCCGCATGGCTGACAGCCTGGACACCAGAGGCCACATGCAGACCTGGGAGCAGGGCCACTGCAAAATTAAGCCCAGCCAGGGACCGACCCGGAGGTATGCCCCCATTATGAGGCCCTGGACAGCATCCTGGGGGCTCATGCAGCGCATGCCTCCCGGGTGGTGATCGACCCTGGGGCAGAGGGACCCGTACTGGACACGGAGGAGGAGGATGCCAAGAGGCAGGAG